TATATATATATTTATATATATTTAAATAAAGGATGGGGTCCACCTCTGTTGTAAATTGTGGGATCCATAGCCTCGGAGAAGAGGATAAAAAGGCTTCAAGGAAGAATATTTGGATTTCTTCCTGAAGCCGTTTGAATATTCCACTTCCCCTACCACCCCATCTTTTCATAATATTTTTTTACCAATAGGAATATTTTATTGCATAATATGGTACAGAAGATTTAAGAGATACATTGTTGATATAAAGGTGGCATATAAGGTACATGTTGTTACGTGTGTATCACCGATTATAAGGCGAAAATCTCATCCAGCTCCTCAGAGCTGGGGCGTGTGCCCAAAATACAGCAGGCATTACCCCTTTGAACAGCCGCACTGGGCCGCTGGAACAGAAAACTAGCTGCCCTGGGATCCTAGTTACCCTGATGAGTCTTTTTCCCAGCTCCTTAAGGAATTTAGATGCACTCTTTCCCATGAGCCAAGGGTCTCTGAGGCCTATGGGAACAAACAATTTATATGATGTGGCAGGTTTCTCCATGTATTAGGTCCCAAAACAAAACACACCTGCTTCCCATCTGTCCAGGCTTGAAGGGTGATACCATCTGGACGCTTCTGGCTGCCATCAGATCTGCATAGTTGGGGTGGCTCCCTTACTGCTGGGCATCCAGCTGTTGTGAGGCTCCTCTTGATAATGTTATTAACTTCCTCATGTCTTGCAATCTTTCCCTCGGATTTACGGCACACAAGACCATGGTACCCGAATCGGTATGCTGCTTCACTGCCACAAATACACCTGTGTTCGGCGAGAATAGGGGCGGCAAGTCGAAGGGCAACACCGATGCGGATGGTCTGTGGGTCGAGGCGTGTGCCAAGGCTGGAGTTGGGAACAGCCAACAGAAAGTCCCCAGCATGAGGGGCTCTCACTGCCAGGAGGCGGGCTCTATCCTTCCCTGACACACTCTGAAGCATTGTTGAGGTTATATTTTCCACTACTGGACCATCCCACTGCGATTGTTTGTAGTTGTTGGGGGGGAGCAGGTCTGGTTTCAGAGCCCGTTAGATTATCCCAGATCATTGCTCCGTCAATGAATTTTTGGTCCTGGACTCCAATCTTCTCCCTAAGATGTTCAGGGAGAATCGCTGCTACAAGCTCTCTGGATGCAATACACGAGGACAGAAAAGCAGGTAACGCAATCTGTGATGACCTGCGGACACCAATGCCTCCTAGTCTGACTGGAAGTGTAGCGTGGTTCCACTGCCCGTCTTCTAGAGTAAGGTTAAGTACTTTCGTAAAAATCTGCCCCAGAATACTGTCATATTCGTGCAGTATAGGGTTATCATATGAAGGTTCGCATCTTAGGAAATATGTCAACCTGGGCAGACTCAAGCACTTTGTGAGAAGGTACAAGGCATCGTGGGTGTCCAGATTGCCTATTCATTGTTCCATTCTCCTTAACTCTTCCAATTTCTTCCTGAGAATTGTGTCAATGGCATTGCTTCCCAGAGGTGCTCCTAGCAAGACACTATTTGTGGGGGCAATGACTGCTGCTCCTGGTAGTTTTGATCTCACTGCATTTATCACTTGTTGACTGACTGAGATGATTTCACATTTGGATGGATTCAGGATGAGACCCATTTCCTGTCCCCGTGTCATTACCTGTGTAAGGTCATGTAGGAGGGACTCCTTTGTACCTGCTAGTGTGCCATCATCTAGGAACCAGATGTTTAGCTCGCTGGTCAGTCTGACTGTGATTTCCCTAACTGCTATACAGAAGAGTAATGGTGCAAGAGGATCTCCTTGTTGGACACCCTCCGATGATGTGATTTCATGCTCTCCAAAGAGAAGCATTGATTCCTTGCTATACCCAGCTGAAACAAAAGGGAAGAGACCAGGGAAGTGTTCTTGTACTGTTGCTAATACCACGTCTCTTTTCATGAGATTAAATGCATTCTCGAAATCTAATTTTACCACTGCATTGTCCTCAGGCAGGTTGTTGATATATGCCCTTGTTGCATGAACCGCTGCTTCACTCCTTGAGGACTCAATTGCTACTGCAATTGGCCGAATTCTCCATCCTTCTTTTAAGTGCACAAAGTGTTGCACAAAAAAAAGGTCTAATTCATCAGGAATCAGACAGCAAGAACTGTTGACAACTTTTATCTCTGAAAGAGTGTCTCTGCAAATCTCCCCATACTGGTTAACCATTTCCTTTAAATGCTGTGTGCCTTATTCCATGTAACCCCCCAGCAGAGCCGATTGGGAACGAATTTGCTTGTAATGTCTGAGTCTTCCACAATCAATGTGGTGTTGAACTAGGGTGCAATGGTTTCCTGGCAGGGTGCTTTCCTCTAAGTGCTTCAAGCATGTCAGCATCCCTGGGAGTAACATGTATTTTCACTGGTAATAATTTTGATTGCCCCCCACTGTGTTGCACTTCTTCATTTTCTGCTCACCTGAGCTATAATATATATATATATTTAAATATATATATTATATATCATA